TCCAAGTCTTGAGAACGGTAAAAAATGGGGTGTCTACAGTTGCCCCTCTTTGACAGAACTCGAAAGTCATAACAATGACGGGAGTGAATGTCAAGGCCCAGAGACGACCCATTTTTGACAAGGCCGAAGACTTAGACAAGCATGCAAGATAGCAAGATATGTGCCCGAAGGCAGGGGCAAAATGCAAGAACAATGCACAAAGTCGAACATAACTTATGATCATGCAAAGAAAGCTGTAATGAAGCAAATACATACAATAAATGTAACCGTTTTAAGCAAGCCAAAAACCGAACTACATTACAATGCAGAAAGGATGTTAGAGAATTATGTAATTCTCGCTACGTTTGATGTGGAGAATACAATGCCTATGCGGTTTGTCTGGTCGTGCCAGCTTCAAATGAACCGTACATACAATATCGTTCCTGTCCAGTTCGTCTGGTCATGCCAGTCTCAAAGGAACCGTACATATAATATCGTTCTTGTCCGGTTCGTCTGGTCATGCCAGCCTCAAATGAACCGTACATACAATATGGTGCCTGAAAAGAAAGAGAACTTAACAGGTACAATATCATTAGATACATGCATAGCAATGCAAGTGAAAAGTGCGTGACAACGTGAGTGAGAGGGTGCATGACAATGCAGGTGGAAGGGGTGCATAACAATGCAACCCGAGTGTGTGCATAATAATGCGATTTGAAACAAGCATAACAATGCTATGAAGGCACAAACACATATAAGTAAAGTACACGGGACAACGTGTACAATGTGTGAAGGTGAGGAAACGTATACACATGTAAGTAAAGCACACGCGACAACATGTACAATGTGTAAAGCGAAGAATAAAATGTACACATGTAAGTAAAGCACATGCGACAACATGTACAATGTGTGAGGCAATTGTGAAGATAAGTATGAACACATGTAAGTAAAGCATGCGTGACAACGCATGCAATGTGTAAAGATAAAGGAACTTGAACACATATAAGTAAAGCAATACACGACAACGCATGCAATGTGTACAATGAGGAACTTGAAATGTAGACATGTAAGTAAAGCATACGTGGAAACGTACGCAATGTGTATGATGACGAACTTGAAATGTACACATGTAAGTAAAGCACATGCGACGACATGTACAATGTGTGAAAATAAAAGAACTTGAACACATATAAGTAAAGCAATACGCGACAACGCATGCAATGTGTATAATGAGGAACTTGAACACATGTGAGTAAAGCAATACGCGACAACACATGCAATGTGTATAAAAGAAACTTGAACACATATAAGTAAAGCACACGTGACAACGTGAGCAATGTGTATAATGAGGAACTTGAACACATATAAGTAAAGCAAACGCGACAACGTGAGCAATGTATATGGCAGGAATGAACACATGCAAGTAAAGCATGCGCGCCAACGCAAGCAATGTGTAACCTCCTGAAAATATGCATGAACACATATAAGTAAAGCACATGCAGAAACGCATGCAATGTGTAAAGCAAGAAAGGTATGAACACATATAAGTAAAGTACACGAGGAAACGCATACAACGTGTAACCACTTGGGGGGGATGCATAAACACATATAAGTATAGCACACGCGGAAATGCATGCAATGTGTAAAGCAAGCAAGGTATGAACACATATAAGTAAAGTACACGCGAAAACGTGTACAATGTGTAACCACCTAGGGGGGATGCATAAACACATATAAGTAAAGCACACGCGGAAGCGCATGCAATGTGTAAAGCAAGCTAAATATACACATGTAAGTAAAGCAGGCGCGGAAACGCATGCAATGTGTATAGCAGGAACAATGCAAATGAAACGTGTATGACAATGCGAGGTAGGAAAATGCATGACAATGCATATACTGAAATGCATGACACGGCATGATAAGGGAATGCATGACAATGCAGGTACCGAAATGCATGGCAATGCATGACAAGGGAATGCATGACAATGCATGTACTGAAATGCATAACAATGCAAAGTAAGGAGATGCATGACAATGCATGAAAAAGAAATGCATGACAATGCAAGTGCGGTGTTCATAACAATGCACGATGAGAGAAATGCATGACAATGCATGTACTGGAATGCATGATTCACTCAAACACACTGATACATCATATGCTGGAGTTCACTGCGGGCACACCTACACCCGATATCTGTTTGAATCTGAACACGCACACACACGCTGTATTTTCATCAATTCTAAGTGCTTTCAACATTGTATTTGTAACACTACTTCACAAATGTTTGTTTTGACCACATGGGGATTCTCATGCCTTCCAGGGGTATGGGAATGTTGCCGCCAGAGCTTGGTACATGGAGCTGCCCGATGTGATTCGTCGCATCGTTGACCGAGCTGGCTTTGGGAATTTTTGCATGGGACTCTCGCGCCTCACTGCGAGTAGGCCTCTCCTTGCTGCTCTGGTGGAGAGGTGGTGGGACACCACCGACTCTTTCTATCTTTCCGCCACCGGGGAGATGATGATAACTCCCTTCGACTTCTCCATGCTCACAGGCATCAGAGTGGGGGGTGATCCGATCCCCTTTGATACAAACATGGATGAGTGGGACGCCGCTCAGATGTATCTGCTCGACGCTCGGCCACCTCTCGCTCGGGCAGGGTTTGTACGATACTCATGGTTCGAGGACTATTTTCGGATCCTGGCGCCTACTATCCAAGAGGAGGAGGAGTAGTACGCTCGTGGCTTTATCATGTTTCTGCTAGGGACGACACTTTTCACCGACCGGGCGAACACCATGGCCCTCTACTTGCTGATCGCACTGGTGGATGTGACACAGATATGTCGCTATGACTGGGGTATTTTACATTATCTGTACTCTATACACTGCACACACTGCACACTCTGCACATACCGCTTTTTGCTTTATCTGCATACTGCTTTATCTGATTAGCATGCTCATATCTGTTCTATTACACTATACAGTTGTGGGTGTATGCCTACTTCCCGAGACTTGCCCCAGTGCCAGACGAGGAGATGCCCCTTGGCGTTCCATTCTCTCATCGCTGCGACGTGAGGTGTGAGCGGAGACCACGGGAGTCCCTCATTTTATTTCGCCCTACTTCGATACCATCACCGCAGCCGAGGTATGTCAAACATTACAGTTTATTTAAGCTTCACTTTGCATTGTTCTTTCAATATCAGTAGGTAACAAACTGCGTTTTATTTACAGTTACCTGGCAGCCTTAGGCTCCATTACCTGATGCAGTTCGGGACTGGTGTGCTGGTGCCCGAGAGACGGCCCGATTCAGAGTTCTATTAGAGGGCCCTGTTTGCCGCGCTTGGTACTTTGGGGAGCGCTTCTTGCGGCAGACCCTGGGCTTGCCAGAGCAGCCGGTCACTAAGAGATACACCTTAGCGGAGATGATGAGCTACACCGTCAGCCGGAGCTATGAGCGCTTTGTAGACGAGGACGACTATGCGGAGTTCGTCCAGACCTATATCATGCGGCCTCTGAGAAGTGCTCGTCGAGCTGAGAGGGAGAGGCCTGCGGTGCCAGTGGCTGTTGCAGGGGCACCGAGGGCACTTAGGACAGCGAGAGTACCTCCAGCTTGAGGTAGGAGTGGATCTCGGAGAGGGTAGAGAGCCAGGTAGCCAGAGCTGCCTACTATGATGACATGTCGAGGGCAGGGTGGGGAGACTTACCATATCCCCATCGCTCCCCCTCCGCCTGATCACGAGCTAGTCGGATTCTGTGGCTTGCCTCCAGTATGTACTACTGCATTTTGTATCTTGTACAACCATTTCATTTCATTTTTCTTGATATTCCGCAGAATACTGATGTCCCTAATACCCTTGCAGACTTCTGCCGAGTACACTCGCCAGTCTTTGCAGTTGACTGCCTCCATGATGGGGATGCTACAGCGGAGCCTCGACCTGCTAGCTTTCTACGGTATCTCGGATAGCTCTTTCAACCATAATCTAAAACTGTGCATAATCTGTTTCACACATAATCTGATGCATCGTACTGCCAACGTGGCACTTGATACGCGGCCCTCACGGCATTTGATTCACTGTAACCCACAGACTGCTCATAGCATTGCTTACGGCATTCATACACTACACTAAGTCACTGTACTCTGTACTAACACACTGCTCATAGCATTCATACATGGCATTCTGCACTGATATACTGTTCATAGCATTCATACACGTCATTCTACACTGATATACCGCTCATAGCATTCATACACTGTACTCATACGCTGTATTCTGTATTCATACTCTGCTTTGCGTAGCATAACTGATGTATTTACCATTTGTCCTTTTCAGCCCCCATTCTAGATACCGGTTGTCGGAGGTGCTCCAGCAGGACCATCTGTATCTACCCGAGGAGGAGGGAGAGCAGGGCGAGGGACAGCAGTACACCCCCGCACCAAAGCAGGGCGCACTCATGTTGGGAGCAGCTCACGAGCACACTGTACTCTGTACTGACACATTGCTCATAGCATTCCTACACGGCATTCTGCACTGATATACTATTCATAGCATTCATACACTGCATTCTGCACTGATATACCGCTCATAGCATTTATACACTATATTCATACGCTATATTCTGTATTCATACTCTGCTTTGCGTAGCATAACTGATGTATTTACCATTTGTCCTTTTCAGTCCCCATTCCAGATACTGGCTGTAGGAGGTGCTCTAGCAAGACCATCTGTATCTACCCGAGGAGGAGGGAGAGCAGGGCGAGGGACAGCAATACACCCCCGCACCAAAGTAGGGCGCACTCATGTTGGGAGCAGCTCACGAGCACCGATTCCAGACGACAATGAGTCCGAGACACAGGCAGAGGCAAAGGCAGAGTCATCGGAGGATGAGACTGGAGATGATTCGGGCTCGGGCTCAAATGGTGGAGCCGGCGACGATGCTCCTGGACCTTCGTCCAGGAAGAGGACAAGGATAGACTCTCATGCCTGAGACCATTGATCTAGACTTTTGCTGCTTTTCTTTTTTTGCTTTTCTTTTTGCTGGTAGATTGAGCACATTGTACTGCTGCAGGCAGGTTTTGTTTTCTTCAAAACTATGTACTTGAAAAGATGATGGAATGAAACAAACTTTTTCCTGAAAAGAAAAAAATGTTGCATCACATATTTGATACGTCGCACCGCATCATATTACATAACAATGTAGTTGAATTGGAAATTGAACATGCATGCATCACCAGGTCAGGTAGACCAACGTAGCAACTTAACTCAATAAGCAACCATAAAACCTTGACAAGTTTACAACTCGATAAACAAAGAGGAACAACTTGATAAATAAAATTGCGACAACTTGGTAATCAAGTGAGCAAGAACTTGATAAGCAAATGAGCGACAACTCGATAAGCAAAAAGGGTAACAACTCGATAAGCGAATGGCGACAACTCGATAAGCTAAATGAGTAACAACTTGATAAGCAAATGAGCAACAACTCGATAAGCAAATTGGGGTAATACAGGTGTGACTTTGCAAAACCAACATCGGAAGGCACTGGAAATGGAACTAATCACAAGTTCTCTAAATGTTTGACATATAGAGTGTTCGTTTTGAACACACCGCTCTCATCACAGTACTCTGTTCATTTTGATCATACGGCTCATGCAGGACACTGCCGAGTCTGAATACACAGCCCATTCTGAACATTGCTCATTCTGAACTTACAGCCCATAACACAGCATTCGGTTTATTTGGCATACAGCTAATTCTGAACAAACAGTTTGATTCGAATAGACGGGATGCGAAGGTGGGATTGGCAGAAGTTGAAACATAGTCGGATGCTTCAAATGTGGAAGAACAAACGTGGAGAATGGCACAGCACTCTGAGCACAAAGCGATTCATTTTGAAAATCAAGAAATGAGTTCTCAATGGGGTATTGAGCCTACGACTGAACACAGCGAAAAGCGACTCAACAATAGAAGACAAAAGGGATACAACCTAAAGACAAACACAGACACTTGAAACGAATCAAGACAAGAATCGAGACAAACAAAACAAAAGACACGACACTCGGACGCGTTACAAAAGCGAGAGGCCAGTTTCTTCAGGTATTGTTTCCCCACCCTTTCTCATTTGTGATTCTCACATCACTCTAGCACTCAATCTTTGTTTTTTTTTGAAAAAGCCCTTTTCCTCACTTTTTCTCTCAGCGCACATCTCTCTATTCTTCAATCTCTCATTTTTTATCCCTCCCCTGGGTGGTTGTGATGGATAAACAACAAGTTGTGGGGTTCATCCCAACACTATTAGCTCGCGGCTATCCCCCCCGGTGCCATTTAGTCAAGGCCCCGGAAGAGGGAATGGAGTAACTTGATCCACTCGAGTTCGTGCTTCGCACTTGGCTTGATAACTCGTTGCTCGGAGGATACTGAGAGCTTTCGGCCCTTTGTTATTAGCTTCAACTGTGCACTTTTCTGGCAGGTGGAGTGCCCTTTCTGGCAAACACATGGATAACGGGAAAAAGACAGGAAGGCTGACTCAACTGTGCCCCTAGTTCATCATTTTGACCCTTTTTTGTTTTTGCTTTCTACTAAAACAATTTTGATCAGTATAAAAGTTTGATTAACATGCTCGTTCAACTTTCTGACTTAAAATCATCCAAGAAATGGTCCAGTTTTGGAAAAATGGGATAATTTTCAAGAGAATCAGTCAACCTCAGTAAAAATTCTCAAAAACTATTTTTGCAAATGGCCACTGCTCTACGAGCACGGAACCTACTCTTGAGATGTAAAACCTCGAATCGGAAGCAATAGAAAATTGCCCCTTGTCTGAACAGCATTGCAACATACTGAATGGCAACGGAAAGTTGCCCCTTGTTTGGATAGCACCGCAGCGCATTGAATGGCAGCAGAAAGTTACCCCTTGTTTGAATGGCATCACGGCGCATTGTAGTCAGTCCTCAGAGTGACGAACACAACCAAATTCTCGGATACAGAGAAGGTAAAGATGATCAAAACCATTACATGGACATAATCAATTTGGAAGTGCTTGTGGCTGGACTTCAGGATGAAGTTGCCTACGCATCCCAAACATAGGAATCAAGCCTTACGTAGTTCCAGTTAAGGGACACTTGGGTATTAACCTCTCATTTTACGCTCTAACTTTTGCCAAGACCGCCCTTCCGGGTTTTCAGCCTTGCGAGCTATGTTCTTCTTTTCTTTTTAATTCTTTCATCTCTTTTTCTTCATTTCTTTTCTTTTTCTTCATTTTTTTTTTGCATTTTTCTCTTTTTTTTTTTGGTTCTTTTTTTTTTGCTTTTTTCTCTTTTTTGCTTGCTCTAACTTTTTCCTGGGTCGCCCTTCTGTGTTTTCGGCCCAGCGAGCCTCTCGAGGGTAAAAGTGTAGCTTTGTCCATGTCGAATGGTTTTGAGATCTCGAAGCCATCTGAATCCCGGAAAATGGCTGTTATTTACTGATGATGTTGGAGTCCATCCAATGGGGGTTGAATATGCCCCTAGTGTTGTGGATAGGAACTCAGTTGCTCTTCGGTAGTACTTTCTTCTTTCTCCCTTCTAGGATTTGGCATTCTTGCTGATCTTCGTCTTGGACTCTTCAAGTGCATTATCTGACATCTTTTACCTCTTGTTCAAGAGGTGCATCTAATCTGACCATACAAGCCTCACATCGTAATTGACCGTTTGAACATTTTGGATGCAAGTTCAAGGTTTTGAAAGCAAAGGGGTCAAGTCTCGAGGCTGAGAGCGATCCTAGGAAGCACAATCTCAAGAGCGATTCCACACAGGTCTTCGCGGGACCGCGCAAAACATTTTTTTTCAAAACTTTTAAGAAAACAACAAATCGCTCACGCTGAAGACAAGGTAGAACTAGTCTGGATCAAGCCAGGGTCCTTCTCAGTACTCACACTAACAAGCATGATCTTATTCATTACGGGTTTTAGCATGCCTCTCATTCCCTCAATTCATCAAATTTTGCAAAACCCGAGGAATTCCTTCCTATTCGTTTTCATCACAATGTTCAAAAAGTTTTGAAAAAACTTAGGTCAATGCAATGATTTGAAGGCACAGAAGAGCAGGTGAAATGCACTGCCATTTCATTCAAGATTCTGGCATAATTGGCGCAAGGCAGAAGCAAACACGAGAATGTGAAAATTACTACTATTTCATTCAGATCTTCTGGTGTAGCTGGCTCCAAGACAGAAACAGACTCAAAAGAAAGGACAAACACAAAACAAAATAGTGATATCCGAAGCAACGACCCTAGAATCACCCAACTTCTATACAACAGGACCGACTCGATACAACAAGATAAACCCTTAATCAAAAAGACTGACTCAAAACAAAGAGACAGACTCAAAAACAAAACCACAGAACTAACTCGACACCCAAGTTAGAAACTACAAAAGTTAGCATTCACAGATGCTGAAAACAGTGCACGCCACATGCCACATCTGAAGTAAACCGAGCACCGCCCGCAGGTAGGCCAACCCCTGATCATATACTTGCATTATCTTCGAAGTCCAGAAACTCAGTGGTGACAGACTTTGCTGAGCTGGGTGGGAGGATGACCTCATTATCGATCAAGTCTTGCACTTCGTGGTGAAGACGAAAGCAATTGTCAATGGTGTGACCAGCCTGTTGATGGTACGCACAGTACTGGGTGGCATCATGTGAGAGAAGGAGTTTACTCGGGAGAGGCCAGGGCTCAAGAGGTTTGAGATGACCTTTTTTCGTGAGGATTTGAAGCGCCTTGGACAAAGACATGTAGAGGGCATGAAAAGCCCTACGCCCTCGGGGCAAATACTTCGAAGTCTGTGGACCTTTGTTGGGCGCACTAGCAAAAGGATCGACAGGTCCTACCTTGGCTCTCTGATCTTTTCCAGGTGCAGGATTAGGGTTGAGAGGAACGGTTCCGGTACGACAGTCCCTATCTCGATTTTCCCTTTGGCTTGAACAGCTCTCGGCCTGAGTGGGGAAGATGTCATCCACAGTCTTAGCTACAACTGCGAGTATTTGTTGCTTATTCAACCCCTCGGCTTTTAGAGCCTCAACAGCTTGCTGGAGTTGTGCATAGGGATCTGCATCTGCCCTCATCTTGTTCTTTCCACTAGCCTCAGCTTGGTGGGAGGTTTGGATTGTTGCTTCAGTGCGAACCCCCGTTGTCGTTGATACGTCATTGTCAGAGTTTGAGACAGCTTCAGGCTGGCTGAGCTCAATTACAATTCGCCCCAGTAGCGGGGGCTCCTGCGGCATGACATTCCCAACATACGATGCAGTTGGTGGCGGGGCTGACATTCCAAAAGCTAAATCAGCCACGGATCTCTGGAGGTCACCAATCATTCCCATTAATTCAAACGTGGTGGGTTCACGAGCTTGAAACAACTGGGGTTCCCAGATCGGGTGCGCAGCAGGCGACCTAGGCGGGTGTGATATCTCAACATCGGTCTCACCCTGTAAGATGATCCTTTGATTTAGTGCGGCCACCATAACCAGAACTTCCTTTGAATTCTGTGACATCATAAATCTGCTGAACTGAACGGAGGTGATGTGACTAGTGACTTGATTGATCAGATATCTACCTTGCTTCGCCAAAGGAGAACATTGGCTATTCTAAACTCAGATCTCTGAAATTCCCCCTCTCTCCTCCTGAAAGAGAAAACAGGCAGCGTCTCCGCCTAATTTTACCCAAACAATCACAAGCATAACTGAATAATGGTATTCGATCACTGATCACTGTTCCCCAAAAATACTACCCCAAAACTGAATCTGATACCTGCAGATACTACTGATTCTCACAACACTGACACTGATGCCCACAGGCCTGATGCCCAAACTTGCAAACTGATATGTGCATTCCTGTCGAGGTCAACTCAAAAAGCACATAACAAGCAAGTAAGTGCCAAAACACCCCTATGTTGGGGTAGGGTTTCCCTGTTCTAGTTTCGTCAAGAACTAGGGTTTCACTATGCATACAGCGGTTTCA